GTGTTGTGAGACTGGCCTGGCCTGTGTCGTGGTTTAAAACCCCCAGAGCGGCCGTTCCCTCTGATCCAGCTGCCGGCGGGCACGGACAGCCCTGCGTGCCGGTACTTCCTCTCCAGCCGCAGGCAGCAGGATCCACAGCCCTTCCGCAGGGGCTCTGGAGGCTTTTCAGCTGGGCCACACTTCCAGAAAGCTTTGGACCAAAGCGTTGGAGTCCAGCCTACGTCTTACCATGATCAGGATCGTTTCATGTATCTGCCCCTGCCTTTCTTTTTCTAACACATATTCTGGTGTTTCTGTTCTCTCTTAGCAATCTACTGTATTTTTTTTTTTAAGTGTTGACTCAAATACCTAGCTAATCATTCTTCATTTTGTATTTCTCCAGATTATACATACTGTGGTGTATCTAGTGTATGAGTGTGAGGTTTTTGTTTGGGTGGTTTTTTCTGTTTTGAGTTGTTTGGGTTTTTCTTGGCTGAATGCTTTCTCTCTGTCAAGTAATTCCTAATATCTCTCTGTCTGTTTATGTAGTTTGCCAAGGTAGCTTTAAAGTAAGATCCTGTCCTCTGACATGCGTGTAGCCCCTTCCTACACTGTGGTACATATAAGATGTTACTGTTTGCTTTGCTTTGGTATTTAAATTATTAATCAGAACACAGGATGATGCTGAACCCGGAACTTGTAATATAGTAGTACTTTTTTTTCTTTTTCAAGAAGTAGCTAGAAAAACACTATTCACTGCTTTCTTTAGCTCATGTATTGCTGCTTTGATGTAAGAGTGAAAAAATCTGCAGTAGAGGCAAAGCATTCAGTTTCTGTCTCTCACCTGTTGTTCACTTGATCTATTCCTAATTACGGGCTTCTCAAAGTTAAATCATACTAGTTGCCTAGTTTTCTTTGTTTCTTAATGTCTTGATACTTTTGGATGCTTCACAAATAGTTTGTTTTGTGTTATGTTCTTCTTTCTCTCTTCTGCATGGTGGGAAGACGTATTTGTTTCTTAATATGAAGAACATAGCTTTACAGTATGTAGGGAAGATGGTACAGGAAACGTATTACTATGTCACTGGTTTATGGCATAAATCTGAGCTCCTGCTTCGTTTTTAGTGACGGTGTGTGGCAATTGCACTCTCTTACAGGGCGCTATTTTCCAAAACGACCCAAGCACATGCTTATAGTCGAAGCAAAGTTTGATGGTGAACAGTTGGCTACTGATCCTGTAGAGCATACTGATCAGCCAGAATTTGCTACGGAATTGGCTTGGGAACTTGATAGGAAAGCACTTCATCAGCACAGGTAACATTAGAAAGTTGAGTCTAATTTGGAGATAAAAATCTAATTTTCTTGGCTCTACAGGTACTGAAATACAATTTTTTGTGTTGCTCTCATTTGAATTTTTTTTAGAACTTTCTTTTAGCTGTACACTGGTCTACCTTAATGCTACCCCAGGAAACAAAAGTAGTATGTGGCAAGATAAGTTATGTTAAAAAAAAAAAAAACTGAAAAAAAGCCAAGAGGTTACAGCAAATTAGTAGTGCTACAGTTCAAGCATTGGAGTCAGGCTTTCTGGACTATATTGTAATGTATAATTAACTTCAAGCCTGAAAAGCCTATGTAAAGTATTTTTGAAAATGCTAGATAGAAGAGTTGAGAAATAGGTTTCCCTAGCTGTCATTTGGTTTTGACTGACAGATTATAATATTACCTCCCTAGTTTCAAAGGTGTTAAAAAGGCCATATTATCTTTGATGTTTGACGAGAGAACACCTCCATGTACCTTATGCTAGACACTTTATCTATGCTTCTAAGTATTGTTAGGTGCTTTGCACAAAAGTTTTCTGCAGAAGTCCTATTTCACGTGAGGTGTTTCTTGTTGGTTATTTCTTGTATGTGAATGAGATCTAGTTTATTTGTCACAATGTCTTTTTAATAATACTTGAGGCTCTGTGAGACTCCAGTACATTCCTCTTACAAATTTAATCCACTTGTTTTTTTCTCTCACTTAATGATAAATTTTCAGACGTTCAATATAAACTCAGTTTCTGACCTATAAAACTAGTTATGTAACAAATGTTATGTCACTGGTATGCTTGAAACATATGAATGATTTTTTGAGAACTAATCGCAGAGATAATTCTACATTTTGGATTTCAACTGAGTTGTTCTTTCAGGCTGCAGCGTACACCTATCAAACTCCAGTGTTGTGCATTGGATCTTGTATCTTCAGCTAAAGAGAATATAGGCTATATTGTACTTGATTTAAGGGCTGTGCAGGAAAAGAAACAGGTATGTTGTGGAGTATAAAGCTTCAAAAATGTATATTTTGGCAACAGTACTGTTTCAGATAGTAGAATTTGGACTAAGGCACAGACAAAACTTTTATATCTTGTTTTGGAGTACTACTCCTAGCTGATCATGTTTTGTTTTGTTTTGTTAGAGACATCTCGATTGTATGTAAGAACATGAGCAAATGAAAGTACTTTTGTACTAATCTTGCACTCCTGAATTTGAGAATTAGAGCACTTAAAAGCAATATTTTTAAGGAATTCATTATTTAGTTGCCTGGAAAAATTTATCAAAGCAATTGATATTGAGCAATTGAATTGTATCTCCATCATCAAATCAAGTCTTAAGGTTTTTTTAGTGGGCCTCTGGAAGATGTGTTAGGCAGTCAGAAGTTCTAGCATTCTATAGAATCTTTCAGTATAATAGTGTACTCAAAATAGACCAGATTTTTGAAAATAAAAACCAAAGTATATTTATGTAGGTAATGAAGTAGAAATGCTAGACCAAGTCTGATTTTTCTTTAACAATATTATATTACTTTCCTAGTTTTTTAAATGCTTCTGGTTTTTGTCTTTGTTTTTAATGATGTAGGCACCAAAGTGGTATCCTCTGCTTAGTAACAAATATACTAAATTTAAATCTGAAATACAAGTGGGTGTTGTGTTGGAGACTGATTCAAAAGCAGTGGTCGATGCTTTTAAAGCAAAGGAGGCACCCCCAAGAGAAGGGAAGGGTAAGTAACGTAATAAAAATATTACTCACTTTGAATTTAAAATGCTCCTGTGCCAGGTGAATATATCACTTGTTGCAAATGTGTTGTTTTAAGTCTCAAGAGAATTTTGATTTCATAGCATTTCACAGAATTGTAGGGTTGGAAGGGACGTCTTTACAGGTGATTCATGTACCTTGGGGTTACAATTTTATGAGGGTGATTTGCTGTAGAAATTGTGTAATTTTTCAGGCGGACACAGTTGCAAACCAACTGATCTTTAAAATAAGAATCTGGGACTCATAATTTATTCCTGTAGGCATATTATTAATTTTTCAGAGTTTTAGAAAGTTTTGTGATGAAAGAAATAAGAAAGGAGCATTCTTTACAGAATGCAGTTTCAGTAGTTTGGACTGGGAATCATGTAGTGCAATATTTCATTTATTGGGTAGGCTGCTTCTCTTTTCCAATGGGTTTTTCATCTAATCTAAATCACTCAGTACTTAAATCATGTTCTGCTGTTAAGTTTTTGTGGTAAGAATAACTTCATATTAACTGTTGGGACTCATTTGACATCTGGATTCTCTTGTTCATTCCTCTCAAAAGTAATCAGTTAAATGTGTCAAAAATGTATTAGAACTCAATATCAATACTAGTAGGTGCCTTTATGTGCTGTGCTTTTCAGTCCCTTTTTAATTTCTGAGTTTTTAATGCAAGTTAGTAGTGTAAAAAACCCAAAAACAAACACTTATACTTTATTAAAAAAAATTAAAACCTCCAAACAAAAACAGATTTATCTCCCCCTTCATCCCTTACCCAAAAGCCTATCTACTTCACTTCTAAAAGCTAAGCCTCTGTTACAACTAGTGGATTTTTTCTTACTTACCTTACAATACCTTGTGTTCTTTCCCTGAGAGTAACTTCTTGCTGATTGAAATTAATTATCTTTGTATCATTATCTGTGGCTCTGTTTTTGTAAAAACAAAGTGGTTGGTAGCAGTAAGTATTTTGCAAGGTTTCTGGCCCAGACTTTTGATGACTTGGCTGCATTCAATTAGTGGTTAAGACACTATTGGAGTTCCAGTGTCACCAGTTAGCTTACTCCATTCTTTGAGGTACACAACAAAGCACAGGGAATTTTATATACTGTAAAGTTTGTAAAGGAGGCAAGAACTACTGTAAATGGTGTATTAATCTCCACTTTGATCTTTCTGCCTGCAAGCTCTCCTACCCCTCATGACACTGGCAGAAGATACAAGAAATCCCTTCTGTCTTCACCCAGCATATGAGGCATCATACTTCTTAAACAACTGAACGGGTTGTCATATGCCATTACTGTCTTGCATTTCCTTTAATGTGTAAAATAAAGAAGCAGCATGGTAGATTATAACCTAATGAAATAAGATTCCAGTCACTATGATGATGCTCACTGTAACATTAAATAAAAATATGCACTAACATTATTTCTAGCATAGTGTTCAGAATAACATCTGTGGCCACTGACTAGAAATGAATTTCAGAATTTTTTTATAGCTATACGTAAGTATGTTTAAAGGCTTTTTTGTGTTGAAATGCTTTGGAACCAAGCATCAAGATCTTTATTTGGAATTTTTCTTTCCACATGTACAATAATTAAAGGTAAAATTACAATAGTGCATAAGATTCCTGCAACAATTAATAAGGTCACCAGTTATTTTTTCTTCTCTCTTAGCATCTGACCTTCTTTCTGGACTAGACCCTAAAAGTATTGTACCAGTCTTAAATGAAGAAGAGGGCTATCATCAAATTGGACCAGCAGAGTATTGCAGAGAATGCTTTGTCTTGTCTGTAACCATTGCGTTTGCCACACAGTTAGAACAGGTTTGGTTCCTTGCTATGTATATTTTTTAAGAAGTAGTGTCCTATGTTTGTACTTTGATCCTCCTATGCCTTATTTCTAATTAGGTTTTTTATTTTCTTGTTATAAATAGCCTGGTCCCATATTGAATTAATATATATTAATTTGAATTTTAAAACTTTATGTAGTGCTTACATGTTAAATTACAGATGAAAGATCAGAGTTCTTTTGGATCACTAAAATTACATTTGCTTTAAATTATGCACTTTTATGAAATGCATACACTTATATTACAATATAGTATAGAAAGTATGTGTATGAATATCAGTCTTCAATGTGGTGCCCATGTGCTCAAGTTCAAACAAGACAAAATACTTTTCAGATACGGAAGTTATATGAACTTGTAGAGTTTATATGTTGCCTAAGGGAATGACTTGCTAGCTTGGATGAAGTGCCATGCTAATGTGATTATTTCAGCTTTAGACCTCGGCTGCTGTAGCCATGCTGTGCTGTACCACAGTGGTACACATTGTCTGGTTTAAAAATATAGGTATGTCCAGGTTACTGTGAAAGTCATGACTCCAAGCCACCATGATTAGAATTGATCTATAACTCTTCTCAGTCATGTCTTCTTTTATCAAAGAAGATAATTTTCCAAGTCAGGATTATAGGGCCTTGTGAAGTAAACTTACTGTAATCAGTCTGGAGTAGACTGTGCCTTTTTAGGCACTGGACTCACAGTTGTAGTGGCTACAGGATGAAGCAGCTGTTTCTGGCTGTTCCAGTCTTTCATTCAATTACATAAGTTATATAACTGCGTATCTAATCTGCATTGTTTATTTGCACTATAAATATCTTGTGGAGGTACTGCTTATTTCTGAATATTTGTACAGTGCTTGATGTTACTGAATATGTGGTGTCAGTTACAGCACTTGGTCCTGATAAATCTTAAAGGTAATTCAGAATTTAGCAAGTTACTGATATGCTTGTAAAATAAGATTTATTTTTTTATTCAGCTTGAATATTAATGTAAGTTTTCTTTTTATTTTATGTGTGTAGTGCAAGCTAGGATTTAGGTCAGCTATTTGATAGTTTGAGATCACTTTAAGCTCTTTAATTTCAAGGGTAAAGCTTAAGGATTACTGTAACTGTACATTAATGAAAGAGATACGTTCTTCTTTTCTACATCTTTTTTTAGTTAGTTCCTAGTACTATGAAGCTTCCTGAACCACAGCCTCAGTTTTTTTTCTACTACTCGTTACTGGGAAATGATGTCACAAATGAACCTTTCACTGATTTAATTAATCCAAACTTTGAGCCAGAAAGAGCTTCAGTTCGAATACGTAGTACAGCTGATGTCCTTCAAGTTTATCTTTGTGCACAATCAAAATTGCAGGTAAGCTATTTCTTCTCAAATGTGAATGAAAATAAATAATGAAAAGAAATAGAATATGGCTCAGGCTGAAACTGGAAAACACTTCTCTTTCAAAAATTAAATTGTATAACAGTATTTTGGCTGAAATATAAGTTGATTCTCTTACTGATATGAGGGAGACCCTAAGAGCAAGTTTCCCAGCTCAAATGGACTGCAGTCTCTTTAGTACGGTTGCTATAGTAAGCTGGGTTACATGTCACGATAAAAGGTATTGATGAAACATATTCCCAAAGAGCTAATGTGGCATTCTCCAGTGCTCTGAGCTCTGGGACCTGCTCTGCAATCAGACCATCTGCAACCCACAGTCCTGCTTTGGGCTGCCTGTGATAACCTCATCCACACCAGTTGCTTAGGTTCTAAAATCACTGTCCTCGAAATCACTGTCCTCAGCACTCTCTGTGAATAATAAGGGAGGTCTGGCTTTTTTCTCCACTCTTTAGCCAAGTGCTATTTTTAAATACACTACAGCCATATTTGGGCTGTTGCAGGATATAGCTTATCTTTAGCTATGTCTTTAAATGGGGGACATGGTTTAGTGGTGGATTTGGCAGTGTTACGTTTATGGTTGGACTCAATTATCTTAAGAGTCTTTTCCAACATAAATGTGTTTGATTCTAAATATTGGGTAGTATTGAAAGTGTTTATGGCAAATTGTCTGGCTCACACTTAACTCATTACAAAACAAGGGACTTCTTGGTTGAGGGTGGTATAAGGTTTCTAATAACTTTGCTAGTAAATAAGACAGTGTGAGTTATACAAAGTAAATCTTGTATCTGGACCCTTTAAAAGTTATTTTTTCCTTTAAAATTGTACAGACCATTCTAGTTTTGTTATCAAGGTTAGTTTAGGAATGTTTCTGTTTAAATCTTACATTGCTTCAGATTTTTTTGTCTCAACTTTAAATATTTTTCTAATGACCACTTCGGAGAAACATATGCTCTGATGTGTGTGGAATTTAATCAGTCTATAGTCTTGAAACAAAGTATTTAATACAGCCTGTATTGTATACTTGTACAGATAATTAGGCTCGTTTTCATTGTGTTAAAGAATGGCTTTGAACAAGAGTTGTCATGAGGTCAGATCTGCATCTTGATTTACAGCTTACTTTCTCTGACTTCTCACTCAGCTTCTTAAAATTTAGGATATAGGATCAGAGCATTCTTTTCTGATCCTTGGTGTTTAATATATTTTTCCAAAAATTAAGACTTTAGTTGTAAAAAGTGCTAGCTGTCAGACTGGGCGGGAGGGGGGATGTATATATGTATATAGTGTATGGTTGTATTTCTACTTATCTGTGTAAGTACATATATAGACACACCTAGCTGTGTGTATGGACAGTTGCTACGTTTTAGCATTGAAGTCTTTATTAAGTGTCATAAATATTAAGGATCAGAATACTGCATTCTGAATCTACTAAAACAGAACTGAAGTCAGTCTTATTTGGGAAAGAGCAGGTTGGTGTGTAAGTTTCAAGGAGTAACTTTCACTGAGGAGAATTACCTTAGAATGGTGTTTTTGAATACCCGTCTTTTACTTAGATGTATAAATATTAAGCTGTGGAAAGAAGACAGAGTTAAGTTTTGGAAAAGGAATAATGATTCTTACCAGGAATTAAGAACAGTTACTTAATTCCAAAAATCCTTGGTATTTAAATAATATCTAAATATAGGCACAAGGACTGAGCTTTCAAGCACCTTTTTTCTTTACGTTGCAGTTATGCATTTCGTATGCCTGTACATTAAAGGCAAGAATCTGTGCTGTGTTTAGAAACCACAGACTGCTGAATTCGTCCTCCAGAATTGATGGTATGACAGATCCTCAGAATAGCTGTGCAGTGATCTGCTACTGTGCTAGCATGAGGCAAATCCTACCTGCTCAATACTGAAATTTCATGGCTGTTCTCATACTACTTAAAACACTTGTTCTGAGCATACAGGGTACTGGACTAGGAAAGATAATTTTGTTTTCTTTATGCTACCTTTAGTAGAGGGTGAACAGATAGTTCAAGTGGAAATGCACAAGCCAGTTACTTTCTAGCGCTTCTGTATGTGTACAGATCCATCTTTGCTGTGGGGACCAGTCTCTCGGAAGCACTGAAATACCCTTGTCTGGACTACTGAAGAAAGGAAATGTGGAGATTGATCAACACCCTGTTGCAATAGAAGGAGCATTTGTCCTTGTTCCACCAAATAGAACTAAACAGAAACTGCCACAGTTGCCTTTGGATATGTGCCCTACTGTTGGGGTATCTGTAATTCTGCAAAGGGAGAGCTTGAGTGCCCAGGTATAGCTTACTTGTTTGTTGTTGGTTTAGACAATGTTGCTGTTTCATGTTAAAAAATAATTGGTATTTCTAAGTCATATTTGACAGTTAAGTATGTTTAAAAAAAAAAAACAAACCAAACAAAAGCCTGAAAGCATAAGTTGCTTAGTATGACTAATCCTTTTGTTGCTTCATTTTTCTAAGTCAGGAAAATACTCTCAAACTATAAAAATGTTCTAGACAGAATTTTTCAGTGCAAGCCATGATCACTAAGAAAACTATGTCACTTCATTCAGCCTTTGACTCCTTTAAATGCTCCAACTGAACTTAAACAGCCACAGGAGAAAGTTCTTTCAGATGTTAGTGGAAAAATAGAGGGCTTGCAGCAGAGACCCCAGAATGTCCCATCTCAAGCTGATAGCTCTTCTTCAACAGAAGATGAAGCAACAGAAAGTGAAATGGAAAGTCTTCAGTTTGAAAAAGGCACGAAACTAAAGAAAAAGGGTATGTGGTATGATTTTTTTTTTCCCCAGTTGTCAATTGTGGCCTGGTATCATGTGCTAATCATTTGTGGAGATAAATTTCAGATAAGTAAGTATTATTTACATAAAACAAATAACGGGGAGAATAAATGTAATTTGAACATTGTTGTGGTTGTTGAAAACACTTGAAAGAGCCAGGCAGGGGATTTGATGGTGTGTAGATTACAAGAGACATGGATGGTCGTCAGCTTAAATAATAGCAGCAGTGTTTAGAATTCCCTGAATTTCAGAATGGGGAGGTTCAGTACAATACCTGTGAAGAGACTGACTTGCTTAATGAGGAGATTAAATGATTTAACTTTCCCTTTTTTTAAATAAAGGCAGGGGAAATGTGGTATTTTCTAAGGAATTTACTATATTGGTAATTAGTTGTGAAAACAAACATTCATACTGTAGAGGTTCTTGGACAAAACCAAGCAATTGGGTTGTTTGTTTTTATGTCATACTTATTTAGGGAGTTGGTAGCCCACACAGCCTTTGAAGACTTCCGTTGTTTTGTTTTTGATTCGAAGAGTGGGTTGGGGAGAAGTTGAGGAAGAACAGAGATGAGAGAGGAAGAAATACTACAATGATAGAGTAAAGCACAGAAGAACAAATGCTAGTTTGCTAAACATTACTGAACATGCATCTTAAGAGATGATTTATTAATAAAGCCAAATGGTTATTTTTGTAATTAGATTTTTATTACTTTTCTTTTCAGATTGGTCCTAAAGACACCCAGTTCTGTAGAAGAAAATATGTCCTAGAGTGTAGTCTCAGGATTTATCTGCTATTTCAGATAAATTCTTTTAATCCTAATTGATCTTATCTAAGCAAGGATTAAGTCCTTTATATGTATCAAAAAAAAGTAGTGTGAATCCAGCAGCTAGTTTGAATCTGTGGTTAAGAAATCTAGGTTTGTGGGTTTTTATTAATAGTAATAGTAATTGTATAACTCTTCTGGTAGGTGCAAAACATGTCTTTTCACATTTATCTTTCAGGCCCAGTGTCTGAGTCTTGCCAAGAGGTTAACAAACAGTATACTGAAGAGCTTCCTGTTTTCAAATTGCAAAACAGAGAAAAGTCACCTCTATTGACAGATCTGCAAAATTCCAGTAATGCAAAATTTATTTAATTCAGTACACTGAATGAAATTTGAATATAGTAGCAACTTAAATGAATTTTAACAGTAGGCTGTATGTGATTTTTGTTCTTTTGTCTGTGGTAGCCTTAAACTTCTATTCAGCCATTTCATTGCACCAAGCAATCTAGTGACATTTTACCTGAATCACTGAAAATTTGATTCCTATGTTATGCTAGCTATGTGACGTTGAAGTATTATTGGGGTTTTTTTGTGTTACTGTTAATGCAAATAAAACACACAAAGAAGCAGGGAAAAAGTAAAGTCAATGCTAGCAATGATGTATTTCTTTAAAAATACAAAATGCAAACATTTTACATAATCATGAAGAAAGAGGATCAGAACAACGAGCACTTCCAGAAGGCAGTTGAATTCTTCTCTGACAGTTTCTTTGCCTTTTTCTATGCTTTACTCTCTTAAAAATTTTTTGGAGAATATCTTTTGGTTCTGATCAAAGGGCATAAGCAGATGTGTCTTACAGACCGAGCAGGAGCACTTAAGTTTATTTCAATACTTAACCTCAGCTTGGGACAAATGATTGATGCTGCCTTGCATGAACACTGTAGTTAACCTGGTCCTCTGCCTTTTTCAGTCCCAAAATAAAGAGGTTAGTTAATTCAAAGCAAACTAAGTTACTACGAATTATTTTTTTTGTAAGGCCACCTCATGTTGGCTTGGAAAAAATATGTAAGCTGTTGAAACTAAAGTCTTATAGCATCTTTCTGAAGAACTTAATATCTCAGGTCTTAGTCTAAACTTTTCTTCAGTGAGATAAATAGCTCTGAAGATTAATAAAAAAGGAAAAGTATTACATAATCTTTTAAGAAGGTTTAAAGCAGTAATTTGCAAATAGAGTGGCTATCTTTCGTGGTATTAACTTATATTACAAGGAATCGAAATCTTTTGGGGAAACAGCCTATCTGTACTTATATTTAAAATGTGAGACCTGTATTTAGTTTATTTTGTTATTTTGGGCAGAACAGATTGTTAAAAATGCACACAAATTCTCTTCTGTGTTTTCAGCTGATAATGATCCAGTAGCTGCGTCTCAACACAACCCTGTGGGTGCATCTAGTTCTTCTGAGCCTGTGACAGCACAGAAAATTGTCATTCCAGCAGCCTCTCACCATTTTTGCTTTTCAATAGACCTACGAAGTATACATGGTCTGGAAGTTGGTTTTCCAATAAATTGCATTTTAAGGTATGATTTATTTTTGTTGATCTTATTCCTGGTAATAACAGTGCTTTCTTTTCAGTATGAAGCCTTCATCATCTGAGTGATTCCTGTTGCTTTGCTGCCTGATGGCTTTTACCTTTAAGTAGCTGATAGGAGCAAAATACTTTGGAGTGTTCATCTGGCTGTTCATTAAACTTCTGAGCATTACAGCATTAAAGATCACCTGCACTGTAATTTGTATTAAATCTCACTTGAATATCTGAGCTCCAGCAATACAGATTATCATTCAGTCCTTAGAGAAAAAGGAGGATTACTTGTGTCCTTACTTTCTGGCTGCTCTTACAGCTGATGGAAGGAGTGACTTCTGTAGCTTTCTATGTCTTCACCCAGATCTAGTGTTTTAATGAGACGGGTCACCTGGTTTGTGTGTTACAGTGAATCTAAAGAAAGCACATTCTAGTCTTAAAGTGAAGAACCAGTGTAGTAAATGCAAATTCTGAGAGATAGTATCAGAGTTTTTTTATAGTCTTTGCATACAAGAAGTAAAGCTTAGTAGGTAAAAGTAGCATCTTCTATTACATTAATTTGTGGAGATACAAAAAAAAAAAAAATACAAGCTTTTTGGATGCTAGTTTTGTCCTTGGAGCAAAAGAACACTACCAGTGCTAGTCTGGAGCAATAGCTTAGAGATGAGTGTGTTACTGATGTAAAATGAAAGAAAAATACAGGAGCACTTTTGGAGAATAAATAGATGTTAGCTGAGAGGTTAGTGCTAAGTTGGAGGAATAAGAACTTAAAAAGTGAAGGAGCAATTATAAGTAAGGGTATTGAAACCAGTAGCTGTATGCATGTTGTTTTTTAACATCACCAGTGAAGGGAAACTTTCTTCTATCAGCTTGTTTGTTTTGTTTTCAGTTTTCCTTAGAGTCTAGGACCAAGGGTTTGTAGATACTAGGATAATTCTGTTTTAGAAAATAAAATAAAATTCCTACTTGTGGAATATTAGTTGTTGATGACATAAGTGGTTCATAGCAGTTTTTACAGATGCCTTCTAATTTTCATTACATCCCTTCTGATGCACAAGATGAAGCATATCTTTAAATGGTGATTCAGTTTGAGAGGATTGAATATTTCTGGCTGTGGAGGTGCATCTGAATTTGCTTTGCTTTTGTTGTTCTGGTGGAGTTTGGTTCAATACAGTTTTAACTGGTCACCAGAAAGTCTGTATGTGTTAATGATTCTTGGACTTTAAGCTTTGTTTGAACTAGAGTGAAAAGGTGGGATTGGAGTGGAGTTGTGGTATATTCTAAAATACAACTAGTATAGGTTGCATCATTAATGATTTTATGTATAGCCTATATTAAATATTATGTGGATAAAAAGGTGCAGTGGATGGAATTTTGTCATGTAAAAGCTTTTTCAGATAATGTTCTGAAATAAATTAATTTATTTCAGCACAGTGGCAAGAAATGGGTTTTGATATTTCAAAAATCTCAAATTTTTACAGTAGTGAATATGGCAAGAAACTGAAGATAAACATCTGAACACCTAAATGCTAAGAAAAGTTGCAGGGTAAAAATTGCATTTTGACTGTATATTGGGAGCATTATTTTGTTCAGATCTAACCAAGCTCTTTAAACAGTTCTGCACAGTGAAGTATGGAATTTTATAAGTGGTAGCATTTGAGGCAGATTTATTTTATTAGTAACTTAGCTGACAGCTGGCATCATAAATTTGAGCAAGTGAAGTTCAAAAGGTTCTCGGCCTCCCTGTTGTAGTTTATTATGTGCTGAATTGTGCCAGTGGAGTAGTTTCAGGCCACGTTGTAAACCATATTGGTACAGTGATTTGACTTTCCTCCTAGTGAATTAAACTGTGGGAATGAAAAACTAAATTATTAGAATGATTCTGACGCTTTCAAATGGTTCTGACACTGTGTATATGTATACTTAGTTAGCAGTTATTGTGTGTTAGACCAGTCTTAGCTGTCAATGTAGTTATAAATGTTCTCAAGTAGCAATATATATCTGAATGTAGTATTCCTTTCTTCTATTTCTCTCATCGCTTTATAAAGCGATGAATTTTAATAAAAGATAAATTCCTATGGTTCTGAACATACAGGTCATTAAAGTTTTGTTTGTTTTTGTCAAAATAACAAATATAAGTGAAGCTGGATCAGTGCTGAAGTAAATGAAAACATGAATTTTTGAGAAATAAATTGCATTGTTGGATGTATTTGTGCAAATTTTTGTAACTTTAATACAAGTCATGCTTCAGTAAGAGGTGTCTGAACTGATTTTCTTGTTGCAGAAGATGTAAGAAATAAGTATTTAATTATTATTTGGTAATTTTTGTTTTTATTAGGTATTCATATCCATTTTTTGGCAGTGCAGCGCCTATTATGACAAGCCCACCTGTAGAAGTCAGAAAGAACATGGAAGTCTTTCTTCCACAGTCCTACTGTGCCTTTGACTTTGCAACTATACCTCATCAGCTTCAAGATACATTCTTCAGGTGATAACTTAAATTCTATTAATTACACTTTTTCTACTTTTTGTAGAAAAGTCACAGAATCGTGGAGGTTGGAAGAGATCCTCAAGATCATCTAGTCCAACCATTAACCCAACACCACCGTGGCCAATAAACCACATCCCCGAGCACCACATCTACATGGCTTTTAAATCCCTCCAGCTCAGGAATTCACAGAATTCCCAGCATTGCCTGGATTGGAAAAGCCCTTTAAGATCATCAAGTCCAAAAATCATCGAGTCAAAAATCATCCAAAAATCATGGAGTCAAAAAAAATGCAGTCACAAGTTAATTTTCTTTTTAATTAAGATCATCAATTTGAGAATTCAGTGAAGAATCCAAGTGCTATTGGCAACAAATATTTCATACACTGCTCTTCCAATTTCTCTGACTTGAATTTAAAGTCAGGGACTCTTGCAGTTCTTGCTTTTATCTCTTGAGTACTTATATAGGGATCATTGCTTAAAGAAACAAGTGCTGTTACTGTAAGTTCTTAAATTAAAAGTTGATAGCATAATTTTAACAAAGCATTACTTCAAGTGAAATAAGTTTTTTGTACTTTTTAATACACAGTGATTACCCAGTATCTTTGAAATACAGCAAGCACCTAGGAAGCTGAGTAGTGTTGAGAGCTGTGGCACAATTTTCCCAGTAGTCCAACAAGCTTTTGATACCTGATTAAGATGTGGAATAAAGAATCATCACAATAGTGATTCTTTGAAAGAAGAGGAGAATGAGATGTGTTCTATGAGTGGCAGTGCCTGAAGTTTATTTTTAGGTATTTATAAGTTAAAGTGATGTAGATCTGTTAAGATTATTCAGTCAATCACTTTCACTGCAGCATTGTTCTTTCTAATAACTGGAGAAAAGAATGATAATCTCACCAAAGTGAGTAAGTGATGGATAGGATAAAGTCAGTCAGTCTCATTCCTCTGAGTGAGAGGCAGTAAAGCCATCCCATTGTTCTGACAATTGTAACCATCACTGATTTGGGAAGCTACTTTTAGAACATGGGGTCCTTCTCCCAAATAAATAGGAAAGCTTCCTTTTTTGTGTTGATGCCTGACACTAAAATCACTTCTTTGTTTCAGATTACCTCTGCTGGTTGAATTGTGGCACAAGGATAAAACAGCTAAAGACTTACTTCTAGGGGTGGCAAGACTTCAGCTTTCGAATGTTTTGGCTTCGGAAAAAACCCGGTTCTTGGGTGCTAGTGGTGAACAGTGCTGGCGTCAGACTTGTAATGAAACAGTCAGTGTCATAGCAGCGCAAGGGTAAAACTATTTTAAAAAAGTACTTTGTAGCAAGTTTTGAAGAATTGTTTGTTTAGTATTTCTCTGAAAAAAGGGGCAAACTGTTCCTGTTTACCTTTCTGGATAGATAAACAGGTTGCAGAGTATTGCAATAGGGGGATAGGAATAGGCATCCAAGAGATTAAAAGTTAAATTGCCACAGGCATATTGTGCAACCCCACAGTACTACCAGCATTGTTGTAATAAACCTTTATGTAATCGTGATCTTGGATAAGCTTCACAGACAGATTAATTAAATAAATAAATAAATGGGGAAAAAATGGTTACTGAGGCACTTACCTGAGTAAGTTACTTAACAATAACAAAAAGCTGCTGATATTCTAGGAAATAGTTAAGCCTGTTTGCTTTTAGATACAACTGACTTCAATGAAAGTTAAGAGGACAGAAACATCCACAGAAAGAGTGGAGAGGCTTCCTGTTTCAGGACTATACCCTGTGATAGTAGCAGGAGTTTGAGCCGGTGCACATCAGAAGGAGCAGTGTTACTAGTTAGTATCCTATCTGAAGATAAATGTTCATTTACATAGAAGGGTGATGTTATTTTTATTAATATGAAGAAACTTAATTTATAGTTAATTCTGTCCTGTGTCCTTGTTGAAGATGTGAACTGTGCTAGCAATCAGTGTCTAAATCCTCATCTCTTTCTGTGTGATAATGGAACTTGATTATGCCTTTAGGAATAAATATAGTTGCTACTAAGACTGAGGTTCGTTTTAAACTTCTAGTCCTGCAGATAATTAAAATGTGCTATAGTTGACAAACAGGAAACTTCAGGTTACTGACACAGACTGTTATTCCCCCACTGCCTCCAAATTGATAGAAAATTGATCTCTGACTTTGTTTAAACTTTTTTGTGTGAAAGCCAGCATGGACTGATTCTGTGGAGAGTTACTTTATGATCTCACTGTGCATTAAGGTTCACACTTTCACCAATAGTAAGTTTTGTTAAAATGAAACCTGGTTTTGCACAAAACTTTGTAACCACTAGATGGCATTCTCAAAATGTAATCAATTCTGCATTTTGCGGTGCTGATACCTTTTGAGCTTTGGTCTTGTTGGTGTAATGTTCTTTTTACACTGATATGTTAATCTGGTTTAATTACTCCGATTTCTGAGGTCCACTACCTTGAGTCTTGTGGGTTTTTTTAATCAGTGACTGATTAAAAAGTTGTGAGAATTTAATGCAGTTATTCATGTTAATGTATGTGAAGTACAAATGTTTGTTCGTTTTCCCTTGCAAATAACTGTGTAGAAGATTACATCTTTGCAAAAATACTTGTGTTATCTAGAGAACTACAGCCACGGTTAATTCCTGCAGCCTTTTGTTGCAAACTGCTTAATACCTAATTCTGCAGCTGCCAGGCATCAAGTGATTGTGTAATTGCCTTTGCATCATTGAGTAGTTATAACTGAAATGAAAGTTCTGTTTCTGACCGAGTACAGGTCTACACTGCCGTATACTTTCATGTTAAACTAGTGATAACTTTCAGTTACATGATCTGTGCATATTCCTTCTCTTCGTATCTTTCTGTGCTGAAAACTGCCTTTGTTTACTACATTTTGTCTATGATTAGAGATGAGATAGCCAGAGACAAACTGTTCTACTTAAGCAGAAACTGCAACTAATTTCAGATTACTAAACTTTCTGTTATCTAGACATTCTTTAACTGTAAGTGGATTTAAAGTTATCAGTTCTCTGTGATGAAGCTTCCAGGAATGTATTTTTTAGTAATCCAAAGATGGCTTATCACACATTATATGCTAAGTGACTTATTATACTGTTGCTGTAAGTTCAACAGTAAGTTCAACTAGAAAGTTACTGTTGACACTTAAAAAATAAAGACAAATGAAACTCATTGAGTATCTTAGAATGAAGTCAGCAGCAATGCCTGTATTCAACAGGTATATATTTTAGGGAGATTTAAGACTGCAGGTACAATTTTGGATTGTTTCCTTGTTATAGGAATATGTTGATTATAGTAAGCTTTTAGTTAAATAGGTTCCCAATGACAAGTTACCTGTTAAAGTTGGAAAGCTTACTGTGTATATATACATCAGTTCCTAAGTTAAAACAGTATTTATGGGAGACTATGTTTGGGCTCTCATGTAGGAAGCTGTTTAGAGTCCCTGAACTTACATGGAACCTCTTAGCACTTCAGCTTTGTTGTTTTGTATGTTATCTTACAGTTCACTTTCTGTATTTTTAAGACAGTTTTCATTAAACCAATATTCTAATGCTCTTAACAGGTCAGGCAACAGAATAGCAGAGCTTTCATATGCTATCACTTTGGAAGACTATGGGCTTGTGAAAATGCAAGAAGTTCTGGTGTCAGATTCTTCTCAAGTAAATTTTACATAAATCTTTTCATTTTTTCCTTGACCACTTCCTTAAAAAGTTGGGTTTCCAGCTAAAAATGTACTGTTATTATATCAGTGTGTAGATGCTGGTCAACAACGACATGTCACTCACACTCAGCCTCATTGTGCCCTGGAAAACCATCCAGAACCTCGAGAAACTCTTGAATACAAAGCAGCACTGGAGTTAGAAATGTGGAAGGAAATGCAAGAGGACATTTTTGAAAATCAGGTTTTTATTCTTTCTGTTTATTTCCTAAACTGCATGACTGGCAGAGAAGCTTTAGCAGAATTGTTGAGAGGAATATGAACTGCATTTTTCTTAAACTTTGCCTCTGTTTCAAATAAGAACTAAATTTTGCTGATACAGAGTATTGAACATTCAGGTGTACACAAATATATTCCATACTCTTAATGCTGCTAAGTGCCTGAATTAGGTGCTAGGTGGTGAAATACAGAGTACTCCTTCACAATTTCCCCTTACTGTTTATGAACTACAGTAGATATTCAGGATACAAATATTTGGTGTTAAATATTAACACTGCATTTACTTGTTGCCAGTCAAAATCCATTGCTGTGTTTCTACTCTTTAAGTCATTCTAGGTTTTCTTAGTCACATGTTTCTTTTTAAAAGCTACTGAGAATCTAATGTCTATTTGTTAGTATCTATTTTTCTCAAATTTAGGCTTACTTTGCATTTTGTACATAAGAATAAGAAATAGCTTTTACTATCAGAATCATACTTTGGGTTATATAAAGTCAGTGTACAAAACTTAAAGTCTTTTGATTTGAGGCTTAGGTTTTTTTTAGTACTCTCTTCTTTAAAGCTGCACTTCCAACTATTTTGACTTAGTTTACTGGTTTGGGGTTTTTGATCTTTTTTTGCTTTTAAAAGCTTAAAAAGAAGGAAATGGCCCATATGCAAGCACTTGCAGAAGAATGGAAGAAAAGAGATAGAGAGAGAGAAGCATTAGTGAAGAAAAAGGTAAGTAAACTCATTGTTACACTTGCTGAACGTCTCATTATAAATCTCTTATAGCTATGAAATTTTACAAGATATTTTGTAACTAACATAGAACAAAAGGTCTGTGATTAGTCTTCACATCTACTGGTATGCACACTTCTCGTCTACAACTGTGCAAAAAATTAAAAGTAGCCCTTAATCATAGAATAGCTGTTAGAAATCCTTTAGGCTAGCTTGCTTGCTTTGGGGGCTTTTTGATTTTAATTGTCTTTCACTTGTGTGGTTGAAAAGCACTTCTACAGCCCAGCTGTGTCTGGTAACCTGTTAGCCTTTATTGTATTAGAAAGAAAGGCTCTCCATTGTGATCTCTTCATTAAGAGCTGGAGATTTGTTTTATATGTAGATTTCCAAACAAAAACTGTCAACATTTTATAACATAGTAAGAATAACTTCTCTACCTGCCTAAAACATTATTTTTATTGCAAGAAAAAAAGGTCTTTTTTTGTTCTTTCAGGTAGCAGAATATACTGTTTTGGAAGAACAGCTTCAGAAGACCCTGAGAGATCTAGATAAGCGTGAACGACAGCTTTTTAGTGCTGAATCAGAGGTAAAAAGTGTTTGGTCATTTTAAACGATTCAATTGCATGAGCTATTTCTATAATGTTTGTTGGGTTTTCATATAGAGACAATTGTGACCTGTGTATAAAAACTGAAATAGCTGCATTCATATTGGTACATAGAGGAGCACTAGTAAGTTAAGCCAAGTTTTGTTACAACTACACTTTTTTACTGAAATGGAAATTTGATGAACTTATAAATGGGTTGCTAGAATTACAGAACTGTAAATTTTCTATTCTTAACAGGATTACAGTGTCAGTGGAAACACTTGTATAACATTAGCGTATCTCTGTTTTAAGTTTAGTACTGTCAGGTGAACATTATACATGTGTACAAGAGTGCCTTACTTCAAACACTAATTGCTAGATTAACCTTTGAAGGAGGAGAAGGTGACAATGAGAGCTGAGAGAAACTGCAGTTGTCCAAGTTTTGTTATCCAGCAATTTGATAGAGTTCCTATTTCATTTTTTTTTTTTTTACAGTGACAGGGCCAAAGAAGATATGGGAGAAACCAGTAGCTACCACTGTTTCTAGATCTCAGTGAACACCCCCAAGATGAGGAAATCACGGAATGGTAGGGGTTGGAAGGGACTTCTTAATCCAACCCCCCTGCCAAAGCAGGTTCATCTAGAGCAGGTTGCACAGGACCGCATCCAGGAGGGTTTTGAACATCTCCAGAGAAGGAGACTCCACAGTCTCTCTGGGCAGCCTGTCCCAGTGCTCTGGCACCAAGAAGCTTTTCCTCATGTTAAGTGGAACCTCTTGTGTTCCAGCCTGTGCCCGTTGCCCCTTGTCCTATTGCTGGCCACCATTGAAAAGAGTCTTGCCCCATCCTCTTGACACCCACCCTTTGGGTATTTATAAACACTGATGAGGTCCCCTCTCAGTCTTCTCTTCTCCAGGCTAAACAGGTCCAGCTCTCTGTCTTTCCTTGTGGGAAAGATGCTCCAGCCCCTTAATCACCTTTGTGGCCCTCTGCCGGACTCTCTGCAGAAGTTCTCTCTCTCTTGAACTGAGGGGCCCAGAACTGGATGCAGTACTCCAGGTGTGACCTCACCAGGGCAGAATAGAAAGGGAGGAGAACCTCCCCCTGGGTTGCAAGTCCTCAGGGAAGGTAGTTGTATGAAAAGAGAAACAAAGAAGATAAACTGCTTATTTTTATACTTCAGAACAAACTCACCATTACATAGGTAAACTGCTGTCATGATTTAGCAGTCTGACAAACTCTTCTTCTGTGGCTCAGAACAATCTTTTTATCCCATCAATCCTTCCTGTGTTTGTGAACAAAGTTAAGAAAGCTCCCAACACAGGTTGAGCTCCCAGTCAAGCTCACTGATTGAGCCTGTGTCCTCTTCTATACTCAAGCTGTCTACACCCCTCAAGATTCAGTTTGTGCTGTAAATAGTCTCTGACTTTACCATCTGTGCAGAAAATCTGGTGATTAGGATTAGCCAAATGCATTTCAGTCTCATTAAAAGTATTTATTCTGAATCGTATATATATTTGTCTCAAAACTTGCTCTAAGTTTAATGAGATTCTGACCTGAGGGCTTACAGATAATAAAAAACGGTGGATTCCAAAAGCATCTGGACAAAATGATGTAGGGTTCATTTAGCAATTACACAATTTGAGAAATGGGTTGTTTGGAGAGATTTCTATTCAGCTAGCAGTTGTGTAGGCCAGTAACGTCTTTTTTAAAAGTTCAAACAAGTCAAGGACTGTTTTCCTGTTTAGCTCAATGGGAAATGCTCTCAATATGCTCAGTTTGAAGAGTGCAATCTTACTGATCTAAAGGCATCTTGGCTGTAGCTGTGACTTCACGGTTTGTGCAGTGAAGGGGTCTATTTAGCTTTTTAGTAGAAAGGTAGACATAAAATTTGCCCGTAGCAATCCTATGTAGCAATTACAGTAGAGATACAAAGAGCTCCCTTTTTACAGTAGTCAAACAAGAGTATATTTGTAGACCAAATATAGTAATTTGCATCGCACCAGTTAAACTGAAAGCAAATAAAAGGGTATATATCAAACATATACATAACAATGGAATTTCTATTGTCTAATTTCTAAAATGGATAACTTTTTTCTGTCATGAATAGTAATAACAGTTGTAAGAAAGGCTCTTAAAATAAACCTCTTGCACCTCTGGATTAATATAAATGTCTCACTTTTAAGCTTCAAAGAGTAAAGAAGGAGTTGCAAGCAGAGCATGAACGAAATCTGCAGGAGCTACAGGATTCTGTGCGGCGAGCCAGAGAAGACTGTGCATATCAGGTTGAGCTAGAAAGGTCAAAAATCAAACAGGTGGAAGAAGGCAAGCTTCGCTTACAGCAACAGGCAAGTACACTTAAATTTTTTGCCTCAAGCATTTACTTAAGAAAGCATTTTTAAAAATAAGTTGAGCAAGGTTTTTAAGGCAGGCACATTCTGGCAACTTTGTACTAAAAACTTTTTCACTTGTTTGATGGGCTACTTGCTGGGATCTGTCTCTCTGTCTTCCTCAGTAGTAGGACCAGTTTGCAGTGCAGTAGTTTCTTTTTTTTTTTTTTTTTTTTTCCAACACTGAAAATCAAACTGCAGTTACAAGCATGCATTACACATAGAACCCAAACAGCAGTATACATTTCTATAACCTAATAAACTGTTAGCAGTTAACATCTAGCAAGACATCTGGGTAGCTTGCCTTTGCAGTTCATTTTATTCTTCTGATGCAAAAGAGTATTTCTGTTATCTTTATTGGGATGGGAGTGGGGGCAAAATTATCTTGTTATTGTGACCTTCTATTCTGAAAGTAGTAGTTTCATTAAACCAAGGAAACTTAGTCTGCATTCTTCCGTCCTGTAAGCTAGCTTTTGCACTAATGGCAAGACTAGTCTAGCTATTTTTCTTGACTGTTAAAGCATATTGTAAAATTTTAAAAGTTAGTACTAGCTTTTTTGAGCTGTTAAAATATTAGACATTTAATTTAAGTAGATTAAATCTTAGGAATGCATAATTGTTTTTCAAAGTACTTAGTTTATGTAGATGAATTACATGCTTTGGTGCTTTTCATTTCTGATATGTGATAGCAAGTAACTGGAGACCCGTATCAGCCAAAGGCATGTTTTTGTATTAGGAAGAGCTGTGCTGTGTTTTTATGGGTTTATTAGTTTAATATTAAATACTTCTTTCTCATCAGCATATGTTAACCATAGTACATTGAACTTCTTAATATAGTTAATACAAAACATGGTCCTATTCTAGAAGATGCTAATCTTAGCTATTCTGCTGAACAATCATTGAATTGAGATGAGCAGTTTCAAAACTGCAGAATGCAATCCACTTCATAAGTGGATCACTGCTGCATGATAGATGTGTTGTTGGCAGCTACTGATGCTGTAGCAGTCCAGGCAAGATAGCCAATAGTTCTTCAGGCTCAAGTGGACAAATGCCACTCCCTAGGCGTCATCTTCCAAATTAATTCATTTGACTCCTACTGATTTTTTTTAACTAGGTTGCAATACCACCACAATCACTTTATTTTTCCTATACTGTGTCTGATGGAAGATCTAGTTAGCTTGGCATTCTGTTGAAGTAATGGATGGATTTAGAGGGCAAGAAAATAAGAAATGGAACAATGAGAAAATAGAATTTTGGTATATCCAGCAATACCAGCAAGAGTTACATGTGCCCTCAGCCAGAGGCAGTGTTTCATATTTACTAACCATCTGTGAAATTATCTTCATTAATGTATTGGGCCTGGCTGGGCTGGAGTTGATTTTCCCCATAGCAGCCCTCAGAGTGCTGTGTTTTGCATTAGTGGCTTGAGGGGTGTTGATAACACCCCAGTGTTTTGGTTACTGGTGAGCAGTGCTAGCACAGCACCAAGGCTGGTTCTCCAACATTTCCCCCAGTAGGCTGGGGTGAGGAAGGTCTTGGGAGGGGACACAGCCAGGACAGCTGACTCAAATGGACCAAAGGGGTATTCCATACCATATGATGTCTGCTCAGAAATAAAAGCAAGGGGAACAGAGGGTGAAGGAGGGGCATTTGTTACTTCTGTTTTGTCCTCCGGGAACCACAATGCGTATGAAAACCCTGCTTCCCGGGAAGTGGCCAGACATGGCCTGCTGATGGGAAGTAGAGAATAAATATTTTGTTCTTTTGCTTCTGCGCATGCAGCTTTGCTTTGCTTCTATTAAACTGCCTTTGTCTCGACCCACAAGTCTGGTTATTTTTTTTGTTTTCCATCTTATTTTCTCCCCTCCCCATCTTGCTATAGGTGGATGATAGAGTGGGCTTTGGTGGGCATCTGGCATCCAGCCAGGGTCAACCCACCACAATTAACTCATCTGATCCCTTTTAAAAGGTATTTCTCTTTTTAGCATTGCAACATCCTGTAGCAGTGAGTTCTAAAATCTGTGTTGTATATTTAAAAACTTATTTTTGTTAATTTAAGCTCATTGCTTAATTATGAGGAATCCTTTAGTGCCTGTGCTACATACTGTTCCTGATTGCTTAGGTGTCTGTCATACTATCTCTCTTCCAAACACAAATCCCACTGTGTTTTGTCTTGCTTTGTATGAAGGCCGTTCCTTCCAGGTGGTCATGCTGGCTGTCTTCCTCTGTGCCGTTCCTGCTATTTTGAATCGGTCATGCTTCAGTATGAGGTGATGGTTACTGCATATTCTGCTTAAGAAAAGACTATTTTGGTTTGCTTTGCTGGAGATAGGGAGGGTTTTTGTTTGCTTTGAAGTCTCACTGTAGGATGGTTCCCTTTGTAATGTGCATAAGCAGAATGTTCCTCTTGCTACCAGGACTTATGGGCTTCTTTTACTTTTTTGAGTGTGGGTTTTTTGTTTGTGTTTTATGTTTTTTTTAACAGGGAATATTCTGGGCTAAACTATAATAGTTATAAACAATATGCTTTGACTTATTCCTTTCCTATTAAGGAGTTGTGTCAATACACAATTTTCACACTTAAATTGTAGAGTTCTCTAAATGGTTAACTTGTTTGGAGGTAAGCCCCACTATGTGCAAGAGAAGATCTCTGAAGCATCTGCCTTGAAAAACATCGCTCTTACTTCCTGAATAAGGACATTGTGCTTTATTTGTATGATTTGTGCAGTTCCCTAGCAGTCCACAACTTGAGGTCTTATGAAAAGAAAACAGTTTTTGAAAGTGTTTGCAGAACCAAACAAGAAATTAAAAATTACTATAGAAGTTCTAGGGAGAGCTGACATTTTTCATAGCTAAATAAGTTAGTTACTGTCTTTTTCATTGGCATCATGTCTGTATGTCTGCTTTAAAAAGAAATTGGTAAAAATGGGAAGGTGATGAACAATACCTTTTGTCAAAGTTGGCTATTGTGGCTACATGTGAAAAGTAACTGCAGTGAACTATGTTTTTGTATGGCTCCTTAGGAAGCATCTGTGTTTACTTACATCTATTATCTAAAAATAATAGATGTAAAAAGCAAAATTTTAGAAGAAAAATATAGGTCATCCGATTAGGAGATCCAAAGAAGTAGAGTATTGATGTACTAATAGAAGAAGCTGTAGGCTTTGAAACAGAAATTATCTGAAGCATTTTCACCCTGCATTCTAAACTGTTGGATACAATTCATGTTAATACTTGCATTAGCTAGTTGGACATAAATACAAGTGCAGAATTTGGGATCATATTCTGTGATGGAATGCATCAGTTCCATCAGGTGTAATAAGGAATTTATAGTTTAGTAATATTTAACAGAGGAACATAAGCTTCTCCTAGAAAACACAGACTTGTTTTTTCTTTCCAGTACTGGGCAAAGATCCTCTTTAAAATTCTTCCTATTAAAACATTCCTGTATGCCATCATCAAGAAATCATTAATTATGAATGTATAGCTTTCAGTGTCTGTGTTATATCAGATAATTGACAGTAAGATATTTGTTCCAGGGACTAAGGAGTAGCTGAAGTTCTGTAACCTAATTTGTTGTCTGAACGGGTTTTTCTGCTAACTTGCTTTCTATCTTCATATCTCTAATGTAGCTTTATGAAGCAGAGAATAAGCATAAAATTTTGGAGAAGGAGTTCCAGCAATACAAAGAACAGCAAAGTAGCAAACCAGAAATCCAGCTACAATCAGAAATAAATCTTCTCACTTTAGAAAAGGTATCTTGTATTTTTCTAGTCTTTAAAAACTCTCTGTGGTCCACTCACTGATGAGGGAGGTGTAGAATAATCTTGCATGATAAACTGGTTAATTTGTCCATTTTGTTTTACTTTTCCCAACAATTTCTTCAGACCTTAAATATTCAGACACAAATAAGGCCAACAGTAGCCTTATTTCTGTGGAGGAAGCGGTAGTATTAGAGGCTAAGGAAAAAACCTAACCTGTATATTTAAATTGCTACCATCATGATTTATGCTGGAGACTCTGAGCATTCTGTTTATAGAACTAAATAAAGATGAAGATTTTTCTTATGAGAGTTAATTGAGACTGGTATTCCATTATGTGCATTGGTTTTTTTATTAAGTATTTCTGAAAAGAGATTGTGTTACTTATCAGTGGAATAGAGTCACTGTCGTAAGTTGATTTCTTGGAAACCATACATGCCTTCAGTAGAAGATATTTTGCTGAGTTAAAACCACAGGTATGGGCATTTTATGCTCAGAATTATTGCGAGGTTTGAGTCAAATTGTTGATGGAATAAGCTGAAAAAAATTGGACCAAGCTTCTTGGCACAAAATGCACTCACAGTTGTATGGCCAGTCTGCATGTTAATGTATGCTTGATAACTTCTAATAATGCAAGGAAATTATTCAAAATATGTTTCTGTCTCTACAGACTTTTTAAACACCTAGTTTACATATTTTTTGATTTCCTGGTTTTGTTAGATGTGAAAAAAAATCAATGCATTAAGATCTTTACAAATATAATGGTAAATATTTTTTATCTGATTAAAACAAAATACCACTACCTCTGCTGTTAAAAATGCTTCATTTTTTAGGTTACTGTTCCGTGTACTTCATAACTATTTTCATTTGCCTTTTAATACTAATTTTTTGCAGAGAATGCAATGATTTTTTTAGAGTGTAATGTTTTTTAAAGATTTATTTAGATAGTAAGATCAAAGATCCACACTGCATACATAAATTTTAGAGAATGGCTTGAACAGATCTCTAGGTCAGAGAACAGAATGTAGCACAAAATCTTCTATCAGCAGCATGAAAGAAAAAAACAAAAAAACTACACAACTTTTAAAGGCTAGATTTATCCATCAGTGTTTCTGTTAAATTATTGTTTATAATATTGCTTTGAAAAAAAAAAGGTTGCTAATTTGAGTCTCTTAAATTTGAAGGTTACCTCAGCAGATTTAGTGCTAAAAACTAATATTTTTCTTTTTGTATAGACAACTATCCAATAAAAATAAGGCTATATTTTAAACAAGAAAATGTTCATGTGCCATAATATTTATGTTATATTATATAACAGCTTTAGATGATGTTGTATGTTACATACATAAACACTTTTCTTAAACTAGACCCTTTGTATATATACATCTTGCAGTGATTGTTACTGCTGTTATTGCTTCAGCTGATATGATTTTAATTGCTTTTAGGTTGAACTTGAAAGAAAGTTAGAGTCAGCTACCAAGTCAAAGCTCCACTACAAACAACAATGGACAAGGGCTTTGAAAGAACTTGCAAGGTTAAAACAGGTATGCAGGTTTTCTTCTGTCATATGTGACAACCAAGTTAATGTAGTGTTTGAAGCTACTTATAATTAGTGTTAACTACTGTCAGTTTTGATTTTAGTACTGTTTACCTTTGCAAAGTTAAAGCTCTGAACTACACATTTGACAAAAATGAGAACAGCAAAACTGATTTGAATTTGACATTGAACTTGGGGAAGACCAAGATGCAAGTCTGCATTGAAGGTTGGCATAGCTAAAAGCAGGCATG